TCCCTCCTTTCTTTCTTTTTTCTTAAGCGGCCATTGCTTTCTTAATGTGCCTTACTCCTATTTTTTTTCCTTCTAGGAGCAGTGCTTCTTCCTCTACACTGCATTTCTTAATACTTTTATCATACCTCTGTGTCCTCAGTAACTTCTTTAGAGCTCCCTTCGCTCTTCTGTGTCTTTAATTCATCCACTGTTGTTTTGTGTTTTCCTCACTGGTATTTTTGTTTGGTTCTGCTGGGTTCTGCCCCAGAAGTTTACTCCTATTTTTTTTCCTTCTAGGAGCAGTGCTTCTTCCTCTACACTGCATTTCTTAATACTTTTATCATACCTCTGTGTCCTCAGTAACTTCTTTAGAGCTCCCTTCGCTCTTCTGTGTCTTTAATTCATCCACTGTTGTTTTGTGTTTTCCTCACTGGTATTTTTGTTTGGTTCTGCTGGGTTCTGCCCCAGAAGTTCTGCTTGCTCCTTGGTCACATGACAATCCTTTCTTAGAGTTCTTTAAGTACCATCATTACGTGAACACCCAGGAGATGAAAAAAAAATTAAATAGGTGGGGGGGGCACATGCCTTTAATCCCAGCACTTGGGAGGCAGAGGCAGGTGGATCTCTATGAGATCGAGGCCAGCCTGGTGTAGATAACTAGTTCCAGGCCAGCCAGGGCTCCATAGTGAGAGCCTGACTCAACACAACAAAACAGAACCTGCCTTTGCATTGGTATCGCTCCAACAGCTAAGAATGATCTGCACAAATCCAGCCTGGTAAAAAGTGAATGTGAGGAGCAGTGATTGTCTTACATCCTGAAGTCTCCACACCCTGCCAGCCCAGTGCCTGGCTTACATGGCTCAGTCTATAGCAGAATGGGTGCAGACCTTGACTTAGAGCATTAAAGTCTCAGAGGTGACTGTGCCCTCAGATAACACAAGCACAGAAAACCAGACCGGGAAGTTGCGTGACCATGTGCCCAGCATCCCTGATCTCAGCATTCCGACCATGAGAAGGACGGCCTGCTTGCTGTAGTTGGGCAAACAGAACAGCTGAACGGTTGCAGACAGAGTTACTCTGGTTGTGATTTGGAGAACTATCCTGACTGTATTTATTGAGCCAGGGCAGCCCTGGCTGGCCTGGAACTCACTATGTAGACTAGGCTGGCCTTGAACTTACAGAGAGCCACCTGCCTCTGCCCCCGAACCCGGGCTGAGATTAAAGGCTTGTGTCACCAGCCGGCCTCCAATTCACAATCCTCCTGCCTCAGCCTCCACGGCTGAGATGGCAAGTGTGAGCCGCCAGTCCAGCTCGTAGCTGACTTCTCACTTCCCAGTGGAGACCCCGCCTTCCTCTGAGCAGTGTTGTTCACTGTGGCCAACACACTGGCATGCACAGCCAGGCCCCCTGGGGGGACAGGAAGTTCTGAGCCTTTTGCTGGTTCTATATGACCAGAAATGGAAGACCCACTCTTTTGTTGTCTGAGAAAAGATGTACTGAATTTTCAAATATACCAGGCACAGTCCTGGGAGGCAGCAGGAGGCAGGCACATCCATCTTGGCACAGGACCAGAGCTCAGCCACAAGTGCAGTTAGTCAGACACTAGGATCAGAGCTCCTGAGAGAGCTCACCCAGCAAAGGGTGTGGAAGTCTCTAGACCAGAGCAAAGGTCCACTGGGGTGGAGGCTCCTTCCTGGGGGCACAGTACTGAGGGACTGTCAGTCCCCTGGGTCTATCCTAACAAACCCCTTTGGACACCTCTCTGCCCTCCTTCTTTCTGTCCTGGGGTAACACAGTCCATCAGGGCTCAACCCCAACACTGGCTGCATTTCAGGGATCCTGTATGGCACCATGACCATGGAACTGGGAGGCAAAGTGACCATCGCTTGTGAGAAGAACAGTCTCCAAGCTGAGCTGGACTTTAAACTCAAGGTAATGGGTACAGCCTATGGGAGGGTTCAGATACACCGAGCTCAGCTTTGGGAATCCCCACTAGACAGGGCCCAGAGAGGGAAAGGGGCTGCCCACAGGTCACAGGGCAAAGCCAGACAGGCCTAAGCCTCATTGTCCCCAGTGGTGGGGACTCTGCCAACTTGAGCTCAGACTGAGACAGTTGGGTGAAGGGCATCCTCCTCTGGGCCTGGGACTTGTCTGGGCCTTGTTCATGAGACTGACCACTCAGTGGCCCCTGAGGATATGCCTGTGATAAGGCCCCACCACTGCCCACTCACGAGGTGTCCGTCTGTGCGGATGTGCCCTCGCAGCCTTTCTTTGGTGGCAGCACCAGCATCAACCAGCTCGCCGGGAAGATCACATCTGGAGAGGCGGTCCTGGCGCGCCTCACTGGACACTGGGTAAGAGGTGATCCCTCAGGGCAAGCCAGACTGGGCCCTGGGGTGGTCATCAGCCAGGCCAGCAGCTCTGACCCTACTGGGCCATCTGGGGCAGGACAGAGATGTGTTTATCAAGGAAGAGGGCGGCGGAGGCACGGAGGTCTTCTGGACCCCAAGTGAGGAGGTGCGTGGGCAGAGGCTAAAGCGGCACACGGTGCTGATTGAGGAACAGACCGAGCTGGAGTCTGAAAGGTGAGGCCCTGTGCCCAGGAACACTGCCGTCCACAGGCTGTGGTAGCCAGGTGGTGGGTAGTCAGGGCCCTGATTCTGGGAGCACATCCCAGGATACCCTTGGCAGGGTGGGCAGATAGCCTGTCTTTCTGGGGACAGCTAGGGGGAGAGGACCCTGTCATTGCCAACAGGGAGATCCCTGCAGCTTAGGAAAAATACAGCTCATAGGGAGGAATCCGTGTCCAGGAGACACAGGGTTCCTGCAGGGTGGTGAAGCCTGACTCTGAGCCAGGGGATCAGGCTGCCCTGGCCCCCAGCTCACTGGACACTGGGTAAGAGGTGGGTCGATCCTCTGGCCCCCAGGCTCTGGCAGCACGTCACCAGGGCCATCCACGATGGTGACCAGCATAAAGCCACACAGGAAAAGTCTGTACTGGAGGAGGCCCAGCGCCAGCGGGCCCGGGAGCTTGAGCGGAGCTTCACGGCCTGGAAACCACAACTGTTCCATCTGGACCCGCTCACCCAGGAATGGCATTACCGATACGAGAAGTGAGCAGGCAGCCGTGGGGCCTGTGCGGTGGGCTGGGCCTTACCGCTGGTCCCACTATGCCTGCCTGGACTGCGGAAGGTCATGGAGGCTCTGATCTCTCTGACTTCAGCAGTCCCCACAGAATAAGGGATGAGGAGGGATGGCCAGACAACTCCCAAACCCTCCTTGCAGATCCTGAACAGTGGTCACCCCCGGATCACCATGGGAGGTCGGGGTCTAGGTTAGGACAGGGTCTCCTCCCCTGCTGATGGACAACATCTGGACCCTCCAGCCACAGCCCCTGGGACCCCCTGAAGGACATTGCCCAGTTTGAGCAAAATGGAATTCTTCACACCCTGCAGCGGGAGACCATGGCCTGCCAGACCACCTTTCTGGGGAGCCCAGTGTCCGGGCATGAGGTCAGCACCACCCCCAACCCCAACAGGACCCCAGCTCAGGCTCAGTCTTAGCCATAGGTGTAACTGCTGCCTGTACCTTCACTCCCTCCACCTGACATGTGGCTGTCTTGTCAGTGTCCAGCTGTCTGATATCCTGAGTGGACTCCACTGACCCCAGCCCCCTCCCTGCCCTCACTCTGTCCAGTGGCCGACCAAGATGCCGGCGTTTGCAGGATGTTTGGCTCTCGGGCACCCCGGGCCCCACTGTTCAGGGCTTTATGCAGGGGTCCACTGGCTCCCGGTCTGTTACCTCCCAAAGCCACATTGTCCCATTCGATAGATGAGGAAACTGAGACTCAGGGAAGCCCGGAGAGGAAGAGGAAGCGCCAGCATTCACACACACCTGGGATCTGGGAAGGGCGGTGGAGATGGCAGGGTTGGGGTGCTCCAGGAAGAAAGGGAGGGAGATGCCCTTGCACATGTGGGACTTTGGATGCCTCTGCCACAGTGTGCCTGACCACCTGATCCCAGTTCCGGGTGTGAGCAACACTGGCCGTGTGCCAGCCATTGCCCAGAGCATAGAGAGCTGGCTGGCCCTCCCATGGGAGCAAATCCCAGCTTTGGCAGCTCTGTCTCTCTATAGAGGCCTGGCCCTGACCAGCGATTCCGCAAAGCCAGTGACCAGCCCTCTGGCCACAGCCAAGTCACTGAGAGTAGTGGTTCCACACCCGAGTCCTGCCCAGATCTCTCTGATGAGGACTTCGTAATCCCTGGTGAGTGGCCCCAAAAGCCCTGGCTATATCACGTGGGTGCTTTGGACCCTGACTAGCTGGGAGGGTAGGAGAGGGCTGGGCCCTGCTTGTAGCCCCTCTGCAAGATGGGAAGGGTCAGGAAGCATCTTGAGGATGCGGGATGCAGGGGTGGTGTCCTCGTGAGAGTGCCTCTGCTCATCCTGCCCCGACTTTGCCCTCTCAGAGTATTGGATTGGGGTGGGGTGGGGGCAACCAGGTCTGCTGAGGGTTGCAGCCAGGACACAGGGAAGAAAAAGGAACAGATGTGTGGCTCAGTAGTAGAGCACCGGCCTAGTATGCACGAAGCCCTGTGTTCTATCCCAGCATCACATAAACCAGGCATGGCAACGTCATCATGCTGCATGCCTGTAACCCAGCACTGGGGAGGCAAGAGAACAAGTGTTAAAGTCATCCTCCGCTACATAGTGAGTTCAAGGCCGGCCTAGGATGCTTGAAACTCAGCCTCAAGCAAACAAAAGGCTGGGGTTTTCCTTAGCCGCAGGCCCAGTATGAGAGGCAAACCAAGCACTGTTCACTGCCCAGCCCCTCTGTCATCACTGAGCAGACTTTGCCTTCCCAACACAGTCCCTGCCTCTGTGCTCACTTGTCTCTAGGACTTGCATGAGGCCAGCCGAGTGTGGATCTCCTCCATACCTTCCCCTGCTTCCCTGTGTCTGTGTCTGGCTCCTGGGGTTTCCCAGGTGGCAGGGCAGGGCCTGAGTCAGGCAGGACATGCAGCTCACCCTGGTTTCTCCCTCCCTGGCTGTATCTCCACGGCCGGGCATCCAGGCAGCAAGAGCCTGTGTCCGCGGTGCAGACGAGAGGCGCAGCGGCTACGGGTGCTGCAGGAGGCTGTGCTGTCCATCCAGGAGGCTCAGCAGGAACTGCACAGGTAGGTCAAGACCAGAGGAGGTGGAGGGAGGCCGCCAGGGCAGGAGGAGCACCATCCTCATGCAGGAACCAGCCGGGGACAGATGGTCACATGAGAACTGGTCTGAACGGACTGAGTTGGCAACTCTGAGTCCAAGATTTCAAGGAGCCTAGAAAGTGTGGGGCCTGGTCGGGAGGCACCCCCAGGTATGTGGAGGCAGGTGGGCACACAGGCTGCAGGCGGTGCAGACAGCAGCCTTCCTTGGTATTCTGGGCTCCCTGAGGCATCCCAGCACCACTGTACAGAGGATCCTCAGGCAAAGCTGGGCGAAAAGCAGGGCATCAAGGAGCCATGCTCTGTGATACCAGCGGGTGTGAGCGCCAGGGCCACATGGTCCCTTTCCATGTACAGTGTCCAGCTCAGTGCAGGCCGTGCTGACTCCAAGCCAGCCTGAGGCTCACTGGCTGGGGCACTATGTACTATAACTGATTCCCCTCTGTAAGATGGGGTTGATGGGCTGGAGAAATGACTCAGCAGTTAAGAGCACTGGCTGCTCTTGCAGAGGACCCAGGTTCGAGTCTCAGCACTCATATGGCAGTTAACAACCATCCGTAACTCCAGTCCCAGGGGTTCTGATGCCCTCTTCTGACCTCCGTGGGCACTGCACGACATGGGTGCACTTACCTACATGCAGGCATTACACTCATACACATAAAATAAAAGTAATAAAAGACTTATTAAAAGATGGGGTTCATTGCAGACCCCCAAGGCAAATGGAAGGTGAGTTCGGTGCCAGCACCCAGCTAGCGACTGGAGCTGTGCCCATCCCTGTCACTAGCCACACACTCCCAGGAAACCCAGGACAGAGAGGCAAGGGGATGGGGTGGGGCATGGTGGGGGAGGCACACTGATGAGAATGTAGATAGGAGTGGGATGTGGGGTACCATGAGGAAGGTCTTCCGTGGCTTTAACGTCTAAACCCGACAGTCTCCAGACACACAGAGCAGCTCAGATGTAGATCTAGATAACCTGACTGTGGGCTGATCCAGGGTCAAATGCTGTGGTATCTGAAGTCAAGAAATCTGCCAACTCGAGGCCCTGCAATATCTACAACAGACCTAAAGGCCACAGAGCCAGGGGAGGGGGTGGAATAACTGAGACCCCCTCAGGGCCACGGGTGTAAGTCGGGCTCCCAGGGCTAGGCAGTCTGGAGTCCTGGTGTGTGAGAACAGAAGATGGCATTCTGGCCCCGGGAGAGGGTGCACCCTCTGTCTGCCTGGGCTTCTGGCCTGTCATCTTCTCAGTCCTCAAGTGGTCTTCCCCATGTTTCTGTCCGGATCATCTCTTCTTTGTAGGATCCCAGTCTACATTAAAGGCTAAACACCCTAGTGAACCCTTAATGTAATCACCTCTTCAGAAATGACAGCTCTCCAAAGAGTCCAGGGGTCAGGGCTTCAGCACATGGGCTTGGGGAGGAGGGACACCATCCAGCCATGACCCCAGGGGGAGCAGGCAGGGTGCAAGAGGCCTAGCTCCACAGCTGGGACGCTCCTCTCCCAGAATGTGTACCCAGGAAGCCCAGCCCCACAGCCTGTCCTGGGGCCCTTCTGAGGGACTCTTCCCCACTTGTAGCCCTGGAGGGCAGACATACCACCCTGACACAGACTTCCCTACAGGTTGAGCTGGGTGGGTCCCTGTGCTGGCAGTGACTAAGCCTCCACTCCTTTCATTACAGACACCTCTCAGCCACCTTGAGCTCTATAGTACGGGCTGGGCAGACACCCGCCCCAGGTCTCCTGCAGAGCCCTCGCTCCTGGTTCCTGCTCTGCGTATTCCTGACATGTCAGCTGTTCATTAACTACGTTCTCAAATAAGAGCCCTTGGGATCAGCAAAGCGATACCTGCTGAACTCCCTCCTAGGCACCCAGCACTTTACGCCAGCCCCATGGAGGCAGAGAGGCCCCCAGGCACAGCCACTGGAACAGATGGGTCCTTGTGCAGGAGGACGGCAGGTGGGGTCTGGGGCCCCAGGTCGCTGTGGCTCCAGCGTGTGGGACCCTCCAGGGAGCGCTGGCTTCTCCTGCAGGGCCCTCTACCCAGCACTGGCCTTAACGCTAAAGCCAAATGCAGTTCCACACTGAGGTGTGCCCTTGGCCTTCCCCCAAGGCCACTCCCAGGCCAGCTCCCACTCACCGCATGACATCAGATCTGGGGGGCAGGTGGGTCTGCTCCAGCTCTAGACAGCCACCCCCCCCCAGTGGTGAGCGAGGAAGCATCCAAGAGTGGCTGGAAGGAAGGCTCCAGGAGCCATGGACTTTTGATGGCAACCTACCTACTTTGTGCTCCTGAAAAGTGAGGCTTGGACATGGGCAGGCTGGCAGCCATGCTGGTGGGGGCACTTGGGGTTTATTCTGCCAGTGAGCTGTTTGGACCTGAGCCCAGTACAGGTAGTTACCACATCCATACCTGTCCTATAGGCAAAGGAGCCTGCCTGTGCCAGGGGTGTGTCCTGGCCACTGCAGTGTAGGCCCATGAGCAGGAACCCCACTCAAGGGGTGTCCCAAAGTCAAGGGAGTTCACGCTCACCCCATGCCCTGACCAACACAGTCTTCCCATGTTGACAGTTTCTAATACATTGCAATACTTGAGGCAGCCACGTACAGTGACCAGCCTCTGGCATCCAGCTGCAGACCCTGTGCGGATGACGCTCTGTGCGTGCGCGTACGCATGTGTGGGCATCCACATGTATTCACATTCGGAGCCTTAAGACGTTGTGGGTGCCATCACCGCTGTAAGTGATTATTTCATTTTCCAAGTTTTGTACCCACATTTGTGTCTCTCCTTCCCCAATCAGGGGATGTGTCTATGCTCTATGCCTTGAAATAAATGAACATACATGTTGTATGTTATCTTTTCGGGGGACCTTGGGAACAAAGGGGCTGACTTCAGGAGAGATTGAAAACCAGTATGGGGCTGTCTGGGGCTAGGGGGTCCCACCGTTCCCAGTTTGGAGCAGGAAGTCAGCCCACCAGGAGCACCTGGGAGCCAGAGACTCTCAGACAAGTGGGTGGGCAGCTGTGGGCATGGGAGGGGTGTGGCCTGCCAGGACATCCTAGGCAGCCACCAAGACTGGGCAGGTAAAGGAACATGTGGGCCCATTTTTAAGTCCCTATAAAGGAGTTAAAAAGTCCTTTCCTTCAAAAGTGCTGTCCTCAGCCAGACCTTGCTAAATGAACATGCCTCTGCAGGCTAAGGTAATTCGGAGGTCCCTAGAGGAGCCTTGGGCATCTGGCAAGACGCCCACACTACTCCAAGGGAAGCTGCAGCCCACCCTTAACAGCACATGAAGGGTAAAGGAGACCAGAGGGGGTGTAGGTAGCAAGGCAACACCCGTGAGAGGGCGGCAGGGAGGCCTCCCCCCTCAGGTCTCAAGGTCCCAGGAGAGGCTGGGGCAGGGAAGAGGCACCCCACGTCACATCCCCAAAGAACCTGCCCTTGGCCTGGAGCCCCCACGTAGTCACCAGTCACCCTGGGGCAAACAGGTTCATCATGGATGCCTGAAGGAGACTGATATCTGCCTTGTCCATCCCTGCTTCCTGTGTGGGTGTGGACGGGAAGCCCTGGTTCCCTGGTCTTGCCTCCTGCACCTGGGCCCATGGAGAACCAGGCTCTGTCCTTCCCCAGCGTCACCACATACCCTAGAGTGTCGGAATGTCCTGAATTCTCCCTCTTTTTCTCTCTTTTTTATGTGTATGAGTGTATTGCCTGCATGTGTGTAAGTGCACCCGTGTCGTGCAGTGCCCGCAGAGGTCAGAAGAGGGCACTGGATCGCCTGGAACTGGAGTTATGGAGGGATGTTAGCCTCTATGTGGGTGATGGGAATGGAACCCGAGTTCTCTGCAAAAGCAGTCCGTGCTCTTAACTGCTGAGCCGTCTCCCCAGCCCTCTTTTTCTTTCTTTATAAACTTAATAAACCACACAATAGATTAACTCAGTAGGGACTGCAAAATATTCTTCAGGGCTTTTTCAAAGGCACACCCACAAATGCAAATAAAGATAAACATTTTGTTCTATAATTAGCAAACAAAGTAACAGTATCCAAGGTGACATCTTCATGCGGATCTACTATCTTGTTTGCCCACTGCTGTCCTCTCTCCCTGCCCCTTGCTGGTCCCCTTCTCCCAAAATTGTCCTTTTCCATTTTCACATTCATGTATGTAAGTGCACCACACGCGTGTAATGCTCTGGTACTTTCAACCAGCAGAGGGCACGTGTGTCTGTATCCGGGTGGATGTTGTGTAGCTTTTTCTGGGAGATGTAAAGAAATGTCTCTTCACTCCAGATAAAGCACCCAAAATGGACCAACGAAATCATTTTACCCAGCTCCAACTTGATGAAGCAATGAGTTATGATTCAGCCTTGAAAACAAATGAGTCCTGGCACAGCCCTCGATCAGCTGTAAAACATGAGGCAGGCACAGAAGTCACACCTAGTGACTCCGCCTCAGTGGGCCGTGCAGGCAGGCCAGGCAGATGCCAATGAGCGGCTCCCAGGGACATGGGGTGTCACTGTCTGATGGGGACGGAGGTTCCTTTTGGGGTGATGCATGTTTGGAACAAGATGGATGGATGGTATACAGTGTCAATAAGTGGTTTCCTTTGAAATGGTTAATTTTTTAAAAAATATTTTACTATTTTCATTTTATGCATATGAATGTATTGCCTGCATGTAAGTGCACCTGTGTCATGCAGTGCACAAGGAGGTCAGAAGAGAGCATTGGATCCCCTGGAACTGGAGCTACAGACGATTGTGAGCTGCCATTATGGATGCTGGGAATTGAACCCGGGTCCTCTATAAGAGCAGCCAGTACTCTTAACTGCTGAACCATCTCTCCAGCCCCCCAAATGGTTAATCTTATGTGAATTTTACCTCCCTAAGAAGACATTCACTGTCTTACTAGAAGCAGTCAAACTGCACACTGTGTTCACTGGAGAGTTGCATTCCTGGAGGATGGGGATCCCCAGGAGACACCTGCAGAGATGCTCCATTGTTCCCTCTGGACCTGTCCCTGTCATCAGCAGCAGAGCTGGCTCTGGGTCTCCAGAGGGCCTGGTGCCCGTCCGACCCACACTAGAGAGCTGTGTGATCCAGGACTGGAGGAGCACACATGGCTGTCAGCACCCTGACCAGCTCAGACACCATAGTGTGATTCTCATTAATGACACAGACATTCACCAGTCCCATCCTGGATGCCCTCTTGAGGAGTTGTAAAGAAATGTCTCTTGAGGAGGTTGGATTAAGATGAGGAGGAACCTGCCACGAACTGATCAGAGGCACAGATTTCAGATTCCCAAGAGCAGCCTAGCTCTGAAGGCCTGTGAGTCATGCTGCCTCTCCCTCCCCCCATGGTTTGTAAGTAACAGCCCTGCCTAGTCTAAGGGGCCTCTGCATGTGCTGACTGACCTCACAGTGTCAAAACTCTGCCTCTCACTGAGGGCCAAGAACTACAGACCTCCCCCAAATCACACCCAGACCCTTTGCAGCCCACTGTGATCCTGTTCTCCACAGGTGGATGAGTCTTTTTGAAGCCCTTACTAAGTAGAACTCTCCAGGTAGATACCGAGTGAATCCAGCCTCCGAACCGTCCAGCAGAAAGTTCTGCATCTGCGGGGCCACAGACCCCACGACGACCCATGATGAGGCAGCTCGGAATGTCCCCCTCCGTCGACACAGCCGGGAAGGGAAGGGGTGGGGGTGGCTGGAAGCTCTGGCCACAGGCAGCCCAGGCAGAGAGGTGAAGCCCGGTGCTCAGCTTGGTTACTTCTTGTGGGGGGGGAGGGGCACCTTGGTTTTTTTGGAGAGAGTCTCCCAGTAGCCACAGCTAGCCTGGAACCTGCTATGCAGACCTCTTTTTATACAGTTTGAGTTTCCAGTCCATGCGGTGGTGCGGTGGTGCGGCTGACATTTAGGATGGGTTTTACACACACACACACACACACACACACACACACACACACACACACACAGTATAGCGAGCACTGGTGGCACCTTTCTGGTCCCCCGGTGGGTCACTGCCCGTCCTCCCCGTCCTGCTGTGGGGTGGCTGTGGCTGCTGCTCCTGGCTCAGGTCAGTGGCCGCGGCTACCTGACTGGAGAGCGGAGCCGTAGGAGAGTGGACTCCAAGAGCCCACCCGGGCCACCGTGAGGGACTGGGCAGGGGAGTGACCAGGGAGGCGCGGGAGCCCCTCGCCTTGTGGTCCGCCCCGGGGGAGCCGTGCCAGGGACTGTGACATGGGGAGAAGTCTCAGTGAGAGTCTCAGGCCTGAAGTGGGTTCTGGGAAGCTGTGTAAGTGCCGCTCCAGGGGCACTTGCGCCCGCACCCTGGGTGCATTAGCTGGGCCAGCTCGGTGACAGAGGCCCGAAGGTCTGGCCCAGGCTGGGGCGGGCTGTGCAGTTCTGGTGGGGCCTGGCTGCAGCCCAGCGCTTCCCCAGGCTGTGGGGTGGGAAGAGGTGTCCGGGTTGGGAGGGCGCCCAGGCTATCCCGAAGCCCTCTTATGGAGCCATAAGTCTCTTCCTGAAAGATGTGAAAGGACTGAGTAACTCCTCTTTGGGCACTGCATGAAGATTTTTGTTGAAAATATAGGCCTGCGTTTTTCACTAATGACATTTCAAGGAGATTAAATCGATAAAAATAAAGGTAATGTACCACAAAGATGCTCTCCAGGAAAGTGACACTTTCCCTTGGTGCTGGGGCTCAAACCCAGGGCCTTGGGCTGTTACAGGAGCAGTCTACCACTGAGCTACATCCTTACACTTATGTTGATACACTCTCTCTAAATTTCCCCACTGGTCTACAGGTCAGTCTGTAGCCCAGGCTGGCCTCAAACTTGGAGCGATCCTCCTGCCTCTGTCTCCCAGGTGGAATTCAAGCTGAGCTAGCACACTTGGCAGGAACAGTTATTTTGTTTAATGGGCTTTCCAGCAAAACAGAAAAAGTCTTCTAAAAGTAGTTCCAGGGGGTGGAGAGATGGCTCAGTGGTTCAAGCACTGGCTGGTCTTGCAGAGGACCGGAGTTCGAATGCTAGCACCCACCTGGTGGCTAAGACCTGTGCATAACTCCAGCTCCAGGGCGTTGCTCAGCATGGGCGCACTTACACACATGCAGGCAGTACACTCCTACAGGTAAAATAAACATAAATAAATAAATATTTTTCGCAGCTACTTTGGGTCCTCTGCCCCTCAGGGTACTAAGCAGCCATCACCCACAGAAGCCCAGTGTGTGGATGGCAAGGTTCCTGTTGGTCACCATGGTTCCCAGCAGTGCTGGCTCCAGATGGGAGGTGGGGAGCTACTGCTGTGCTAAGGGCTGAGAATCACCCAGATTCATAGTGTTGTCCTTTCCCAACCTTGCCCTGGCAGTTGCAAGTCCCAGAGTTCCACAGTTCCTGCCCTGCCAGCTCATCTTCTCCAAGGGAGACCCTTTCCCTTCCCTGCCTCCATCTCCATCACCTTCTGGGACTCTTACCAGTAAGAATGAGCTCTTCCCAAGATGTTCTGGTTCCTTTTTTAGCTTCAGATGTCTGCCACACCAGAGTCACTCTCCAGACAGAGCCAGCAAACCCCTGACCTGGAGTCCTGCCGCCTGGATGAGTACAGGTCTGCTAGGCACTGCTGCAAGCTCTGTCCTGCTGGTGAGTTCTCAGGACCGGACACTTAACTCACTGTCTCAGTACTGTGAGGGACAGTACTCAGTGCTGGAGTGTGGACAGGGATTATCTTTCAAGCTGACCAGAGGCTGTACAGAAGTGGGAGGATGTGGGCCAGCTGACTTTAACCAGCCACTGCCTACTCCTTCAACCTCCAGGCAGGCTTCTATGTACACAAATACGCAGACCCCTAAAGGAGGGTCCTTTGTGGGAGTGTTGATGTCTATGTTTATAAGGAGGCCTTGCTAGTCTAGGGTCACCCAAAGACACACTTTCTAAGTATGAGGACTGGGACCCAGCTGATGGGACAGGGAAGGTTCAGGAAGGGGAGCTGAGAGGGTTGCTCTCACCTCCGTACACCCCAACAGTTGCCCAGAGCTCCCTGCCAGAGTGGGGAATGGAGCTGGGAGTTCTCAGGGAGCTTGCTGAGGTCACACCATGTGTGGTTGGCAGTGCCAGGCCTGACCATGTCCCAGTGTTCCCAGCTAAAGAGGGCGTGAGTATTGTGTGACTTTAGCACCCAGGAGATGTCAGCACATGTCTATTCACGCCTGATAGGTTACTGACAAAACCAAAGAAACCCAAGTGTAGTTTGGGGAACCATTGAGTTTATTGGGGTTCCTTACAGAGGCCTGGGAGACTCCAAAGCGGCTGCATCACTGTAAGCCCACCCCAGCATGGGTGACAGCGCATAAAAACTGCATGCTAAGGGTGGTGTCTCACACCTGTAGTCCCATCACTCCAAAGGCTGGGGCAGGGGGATTGCCATGAATTCCAGCCCACAGCATAAGTTCCAGGTCTACTGACTGAGACCTTGTTTCAGAAAACTGGAGAAGACAAAACAAAAAACAAAAAGGAACAAAATAACTAGACTTGGTCCTTAAGCCTGTAATCCCAGCACTTGGGAGGCAGAGGCAGGCAGATCTCTTGTGAGATGCCAGCCTGCTCTACATAGTAAGTTCTAGGTCAGCTGGGGCTATGGGGAGACCCAGTCTCAAAAACACAAAAACAAACTAAACAAAAACAGAAAACAAAACAAAAAACTAAGTAAAGTGCCATGTTTATGAGGCGGTAGATGGAAGTTACCTGACTTGACCCAGGCCTCCCTCCCAGGACACCAGGACTGTCACTCAAAGGGGAGGACATGGACTTGAAAGGCAGCTGTCAGTCACTCGTCGTGACCAGAGTCCTCAGCCCTGACAGGTTCCCAGGCAGATTGTGACGGTCTGGAGATTATTCTGAATTTATACACTAAGAACATAAGGCCTGCTGGGACAGCAGCCCTGACCCCCATTTGTCCTCTCGCACAGGTGAGCATGTTGGAGAGTCATGCGTGAGCCCCCACACACAGGGAGAGTGTGCCAAGTGTGAGCCGGGGACGTTCACCAAGTCCGCCAACGGCCTGGACTCCTGCTTACTTTGCTCCACCTGTGGTGACGGTGAGTCCATGTGGATGTGACCTGGAAACACGCAGCCCTCCACCCAGCAGTGGCTGCACTGGGACCCCTGGGTGTGCACAGTTAGCCACGTATGTTCACCATGTAGCTGTTACAAGTTACATTCAAGTCAGATGTGCATCTGCCCAGCATGAGGACAGCACAGTCACCTGACTATACTACTGGCTGCAGGGTTGCACCTGGAAGTTTCCACTGCATAAAAATTGTTCCTTATGAGTGAGAGAGTTAGAGTGAGAACAGTGTTAGAAAACCCAGGCCTGCTTTGACCAAAAGGCAAGACAAGTTCCTGTCTGTTCCTTGACCATTTTTCTCCTAATGGTGTGTATTAACCACCTCAGGGCCTTGCAGAATGCAGGACACAGTGACAGGACACAGCCACCCTCTGAGAGTTAACAATCCTTTGTGAGAAAGGAGCCGGGCAGCAGCCTCATGGCTAAGAGCCCTTGCTGCTCTTGTAGAAGACCAGAGTTCGATCCCTAGCACCCATGTCAGGCAGCTCACAACCACCTGTAATTCTACCTGTGTTCTAGTTTGATTCTTCATTGCTGTGACAAAACACTCTGACCAGTACGAACTTGGGGAGGAAAGGGTTTATTTTACCTTACACCTCCAGGGTCACAGTTCATCCAGGAGCCCAAGGTAGGAACTCAGGGCAGGAACCTGGAGGCAGGAGCTGGAGCACAGGCCATGGAGGAACACTACTTACTGGCTTGCTCCCCTGGCCCCTGCTCAGCCTGCTTTCTTATACAACACAGGCCCACCTGCCCAGGGGTGGTACCACCCACAGTGGGCTGGGCCCTCCCACATCACTCATCAAGAAGATGCCCCTCAGACATGGCCACAGGCCAGTCCAATGGAGGCAATTCCCCCATTGAAGCTCCCTCAACCCAGGTGTGTCAAGTTGACACTAAAGCTGTCCAGCACAGCCTCCAAGGAGCTAACACTTTTCTGCCCTTCCAGGTTCCTGCTTGCATATGCACATAGACACCAGGAGACACACACATACACACACACACACACACACACACACACACACACACATCAATAAAAATAAATCTTAAAAAGTTGAAAGAGCAGAGCAGTGGATGTGTCTGGGATGCTCTGGAGAGGAGGCTTGGGCTGTACCCTGGCAGGATGACACCAAAAGGGTGGGTGGGGTGCACCCCTCCCCCCACGCACGCTCCAATGCATATAATAAAATGATTTTTTTTCAAGATTAAAGGGGGCTGGAGAGATGGCTCAGCAGTTAGGAGCACTGGTTGCTCCTGTGGAGAACCCAGGTTCGATTCCTAGCACCCACATGGCAGCTCACAACAATCCTGACTCCAGTTCCAGTGAATCCAACATCCTCTTCCGGCTCCTCGGGCATTGCACACACGTGGTGCACTAATATACATGCAGGCAAAACACTCATACACACAAAAGTAACGCAAAAATGTTTTTAAAGATTAAGCAACTGGTAGGGCAGTGGACATAGCTCAATGATAAGAGTATTTGCCTCTTTTGCAAAAGAGTCTGGGTTCAAGTCTCATCACCATGGGAAAAAATTGCTATTTTTTTGTATGTGTATGTGTGTGTTTATATGTGTATGTATGTGTGTGTTTATGTGTATATGTGTACACACATATATACATATATTGTGTGAATGTATTTTTGTGTATGAATGTTTATGTGTGTGAATATGTGTATGTATTTGTGTGAATGTGTTTATGTGTGTATGCAGATTTGTGTGTGAATGTGTGCCTGTGCATGTGTGTATGTATGTGTGTGTTTATGTGTATGTGTGTGTAATGCATCTGTATGCACACTCTTATTTTTACCAGGCATGCTAGGTATTGATCAAGTTTTCATCATTTGTGAAAATATAAAAATTAGACCAGGGAATATTCTCTCTACTTGTAAAATTCCTAGCTCACAGCTGGGCATGGTGGTGGGCGCCTGTAGTCCCAGCACTTGGGAGGCAGAGGCAGAGGCAGGGGGATCTCTGTGAGTTCAAGGCCAGTCTGGTCTGCATGGTGAGTTTCAGGCCAGCTGGGGCCATAGAGAGACACTGTTTCAAAAAGACTTAAAAAGAAACCCTCCTAGCTCACTGAAGCAGTCGCTTTTCTTGTTGAAGGGCACCCGCTCCCCACTGCTCCTTCTGTTCTTCCATCTCCACTTTTCTCATCAGAGCTCACTTATCTTAAATTCACTGTCACCCAACTCCAAAACTTCTGTCCTACCTGAATCTCCCTGGCACCGCGATGGCTGGTAAAGCTCCGTGCAGTGGGCACTGTGTCCCCTCAAGAGAGGCCGGGGGTCCGTGTTCACGTGTGAGGAAGCCGCTCTACCTTGAACTGACCCACTCTTCCCTGACTTGCAGACCAGGAAATGATGGCCGAGTGCACTGCAACCAGGGATCGCATATGCCAGTGCCGAAAGGGCCATTTCTACCACGATCCGGAGTCTTCAGAAATCTGCCGTCAGTGTACCAAGTAAGTGACTCCAGACACAGGTGCCTTGATGTGGGTGAGGGGTGGGCGGGGCCTGCTCTGAGTGGGGCTGATGCTTGACACGCATCAGGATGAGTGACTGACAGCCAGGTTCATAGGCTCCATCCACACTCATCCCGAGACACTGCCCCACAGCCCAGACTTTCTCTGCCCTCCTTCAACCCCACGCCGGCCCACACTCCCCAGCCCCTTCTTACTTGCACACACATTTTCTGTTTAAGATTCATTTTCATTTCTATGTGCGTGAGGAGTTGTTCACATGAGCGAGTGTAGTGTCCACAGAGGCCAGAAGACACTGGACCCCTGGAGCTGGAGACAGGCGGTTGTGAGCCTGATGTGGGTGCTGGGAACTGAACATAGGTCCTCTGCTAGAGCAGCAAGCACTTAAGCACTGAGCCACTGCTCCAGCCCCAGCAGGCATTCTAGATGGAGTTCTTTTGCTTTGTCCTAGCGTTTTCTTCTCTCTCTCTCTCTCTCTCTCTCTCTCTCTCTCTCTCTCTCTGTGCTTGAAGCTACTACCTTGCTTTCTGAGATAGGTATCTAACTGGCCAGAAATTGGCCAATTCAATTACGGCCCCCAAGCCCCAGGGATCCTCCTGTATGCCTTCCCACCACTGGGATTTAATGGGTCTGAAGATATTACTCAGGGCCTCATGCTCAAGGGACAAGCACCTTACCAACTGAGCCATGTCCCAGCCCCTCCTGTCACTCCTTCCCTACACTTTCTTCAAATCTATGACCCTCTCTGTCCCTCCATCCCCTCAGGCTCTCAGCTCCTCCCTTCCCACCCTTCACATCATCATTCCCCTCCTTTGCTTCCCTTGGCTCCCGCCCACCTGCTTCCCCACAGGACCCCTAAGGCTGCCAACTTGGACCTTGAATTGTTGCCCTCCCCTGAGGGACTTTGTGCAGAGCCTGCGGTCTGTCCTGCCCTGTGCCCCAGTCCTCGCAGCGCTCTCTAGTGGTCAGAGGAGGGTAGGACAGTCTGTGAGGTGCCTCCCAGGAAGCTCTGTGGCAGGGAGTCCTGTGGCCATGGGAATGTGGAGCAGATGTTGGAGACCTCCAAGGTTTCAGTGGAGTGGTAACAGACAGCCTGGCCAAGGCACAGGTTCCCAAAGAACCCTCTGCAGAAATTTCTGCAGTGTGCTGTGCTTTGTGAAGTCTACAGAAAGCCTCCAGGGCTGTGCTAAGTGGGATCCCAGTGAAGGATAAAGGAAATGCTGTGGTTTTAAGGAAGTTCATCCTTTGGCCCCTCAGTCAGAGGAATGTGACACTTTAGTCCGAAGGTGCAGAGTCCTCAGGCCAGATCCAGCTGTTACCTCCAAACCACTGGGGTGGAGGGGCAGGCACCCAGGCCTGGGGGGTACAGCTGCTCTAAGTAACCTGGACCCTCTGATCACAACAGGACAGACCTTTGTTTTCTGACTTTCCTTTCTTCTTTTTTTTTTATTTTATGTATATGAGTGTATTGCCTGCATGTTTGTAAGTGCACCCATGTTGTGCAGTGTCTGCGGAGGTCATAAGAGGGTGTCGGATCGCCTAGAACTGGAGTTATGGACAGGCTGTTAGCCACCATGTGGGTGCTGGGAATCGAACCCAGGTCTTCTGCAAGAACAGCCAGTGCTCTTAACTGCTGAGCCATCTCTCCAGCCCCCTTCCTTCTTTTTTTAAGATTTATTTTTAGCAGTGTCTGTGTGTCTCAGTAAGTGTATGTCACATGTGAGGGGATGTACACCACAAGTGTGCAGGTACCCAAGGAGGCCAGAAGAGCACATCTGATTCTAGAGCTGCAGTTACAAGTGGTTGTGAGCTGCCGGACCTGGGTCCTGGGGACCGAGCTCTGCTCCTCTGGAAGAGCAGCAGGCACTGTCCGTGCGGAGCAGTCTCTCCAGCCCCTCATTTTCTCAGTCCAAGGCCCCAGTAAGGCCATGGACATTCCCGGAGGAGGGAACACTGGTAAATTTTGACACATGATAGTGTTTGTGATGCTGGTCTGGCAGTCAGTGGTGACAGCATGTGCCCCAGCCCTGCTCCAGATGGTGGATCACCATGCTGCCTGGTACGGGTTAGAGGAGGCTCCCGGCCCTCTGGGGACCCAGAGCCACCTCTGCTCATGATGACAGGGACAGGCCCGGAGGGAACAACAGAGGATCTCTCTGCAGGTGTCCCCCGGAGACCTCCGTCCTCCAGGAATGCAGCTCTACAGCGGACACAGTGTGTAGTTCAGCTGCTCCAATTCACACAGGTACTGTTTCCTTTACAAAAATTAATGAGTATATTTTTATTAAGGTGAAATTTACATAATTAACCACTTCAAATGGAACCATTTAATAGCACTGAATACCAGCCTTCCTTCTAGTTCCAAAACATACGCACCACCCCAAAAGGAACCTCTGTCCCCATTAGACAGTGACACCCCCCACAGCCCCCGGGAGCCATTGATTGGCATCTGCCTTAGTGGCCTTACCTGTGTGCATGGAGTTACCACATTTGGCTTCCATGCGTGCATTCTAAGTGTGATCCAGGTTGTAGCATGGTAGAGCCCTTGCCTAACATGAAAGAGGCCCAAGTTCAATCCTCAGTACTGCACCCCCCAAATTTCATCTGGTGCATGGTGGCACACATTGTAATCCAGTACTTGGGAGCTCAGGACCTGAGGATCAGAAGTCAGAAGTTCAAGGTCATCGTAGACTGTAGAGTAAGAGCAAGTGATACAGGAATATCAGGAGTCCTTGAGGACGAGGGGTCTTTCCTGGCTCTGTCGTGCTTAGCTTGAGAGGCTGGGGTCCTGGAAACTCAAGGGCCACCAAAGCCACCTCACATCAGAGGCTTTCAGACCCTTGTTCTGTGAATTCAAGGAATGAAATTCACAGACCACAGAGGGTGAGTTTTAGGAAGAAATATTTTATCATAGGGAGCTTAGGAGAGAGAAAGAAGGCCGGGCTCCTCTACACCGAGAGGGTCCCCGGGAGGGGAGTCCATTAAGTCTCTATGCTCTGATGAATTTTTTTTTTGATAGTACTGAGGATTGAACTTGGGCCTCTTTCATTTTAGGCAAGAGCTCTACCATGCTACAACCTGGATCAGACTTAGAATGCATGCATGGAAGCCTAATAAGGCTTTGGGGGTGGGAGGGAAAGGGGAGATGAGCTGGTCAGCCCAGATCTCATTCTAGGTGTCCAGGTCTCTTGAAGTTCTGATCACATCTTCAGCATGGCTTCCAGAAACAGGGTCCTCCTTCAGGGAAAAGAGAGGTAGAAACAAAACAGACCCCCTTCCTGGCATCCCCAGCCTCTGGAACTGGGGAACCGGACACACATCTTTGGCTTAGGGTAGTAACTCTTCCTCTTTTCCAGAGCTAAATAACTGAGGGAGATGCCATTATATATGACTACCAGCAGAGTTCCCCTTGTCTGGACAGTAAAGGAAACACTTTAAGATTTCAGGTTAAGAATAAAGAAGTGTGAAAACGGTTATTCCGAATGTGGTGCTCTGGATCCAGAGCATGTTTACTTTGGGTAAAGCATTTATCTAATTTTTGTCTCCAGCTTCTTTCTTGAGGGTAAGAGACTGGCTTAGGCCATCTGGGGGACAGCTCTTATAATGCACCCCAGAAAAGCCATGTGCTGTTGCGTCTGACCCAGGTACCAGAGTATGGATAGTCTAGGGGATTTTTAACTGGGTCTGTGGCTAGAAAAACAGAAGCAAAAGAACACAGAGTAATGTGCAAGCCGTGCTTAGCAGGGTAGATCATACATGTGACAGATAGGAAACTCTCCACCGAAGCTTGCAGATGGATCTCCTCAGGAGCTCCAGAAAGTTCAGCAGTGACTGCCCCATGATCATCCTTAGGAGTTCTCTTAAGTTTTAGGGACCTCCTCTCAAGCCAAACCAGAATTTGTGGCTTCAGTTGCTGGAAGGCATTTTAGGACTAGCTCATATAATAAAGTCATTTTAATGCAGGCTTAAGGCTGAGAGTTAAAAGCAAATTGTTGCTCAAGGAAAAAAGAGCGAGATATATTCAAGTGGACAGAAGCTTCCCAAGGAAGCGTCCTTTACAGACAGGAAGTTTTCAGAGAGCATGAACTCTGCGTTTCTTTTCCTCTTCCTTCCTTCCTTCCTTCCTTCCTTTCTTCCTTCCTTCCTTCCTTCCTTCCTTCCTTCCTTCCTTCCTTCCTTC